GACCAAGGAGGACCAACCCAGGCAAGATCTGGGAACAATCCAATGTCACCACCCCTCAAGCACATCTTCTCCGTTCCTTTCTCTGTGCTTACCTGTACACCCTTCCTTCAATTAACTTCAGTGCCACACATTTCCAAACTACCCATCACCTACACAGGCTTAAAACCATCAAACCTGGGTATGGTAACTGGGCATAGTGGTGTCCATCTTTAATCCTAGCACTTGGGAGGCAGAGACAAGTGGATCTCCTCGAGTAGGAGGCCAGCCTGGTATACATTCCAAGACAGCCAGAGTTACATAGCTAGGTCCTGCCTTGGCAAGAAGCAGGGTAGCAAGCTGAGTATTGGGGTACACACCTATAATATTGATACCTGGAAGCTGAGGCTATACAACCAACGAGTTCAAGGTCAATCTAGGCAACAGAGTAAGACGCAATCTTTAAAAAAAAATTTAAAAAAAGAAGTAATCTTAAAAACAGACCATTCCTGATGGGTGGTGGTAGCACATGCCTTTAATCCTAGCACTTGGGAGGCAGAGTTCAAGGCCACCCTGGTTTACAGAGCAAAGTCTACTGTGGGATGTATTTCTATTCCCGTTGGTTAATAAATAAGCTGCTTTGGCCTATGGCAAGGTAGCGGAGAGGCAGGCAGAAAATCCAAGCAGAGATACAGGAAAGAGAAAGGTGGGATAAGGGAGATGCAAGCCGGCCATGGAAGGAGCAACAAGATTTCAGCAGACCAGTAACGGCACAGCCATGGGCAACGTGGCAAAACAGATTAACAGGAATAGGTTAAGTTATAAGAACTAGCTAACAGAAAGCCTGAGGCATAGACCATACAGTTTCTAATTAATAAGTCTCTGTATGTTTACTTGGGACTGAGTGGCTGTGGGACCAGGTGGGACAAAGGAAAACTTCTGACTACACAAGTCCCAGGACAGCCAAGGATACAGAGAAACTCTTTCAGAAAACAAACAAACAAACAAAACCAGTCCATTCAGAGTGAGAGTGCTTAGTAGATGAAGGCACCTGTCACCAAGGCTGACAATCTTCTTTGGATCCTTGGGATCCAACATGGTTGAAGGAGGAAACTGATGCAAGTTGTCCTCTGACCTCCACAAGTACGATGTGGCTCTCCCTCCCCACCCCACTGAAACAAATAACACAAATAAATTAAAATAGAATGAAGGTGGCTCATGCCTTTAATCCCAGCCTCTCTGGAGGCAGGGACAAGCTGAAGTCCATGAGTTCAAGGCCAACCTGGTTTTCAGAGCAAGTTCAGAGACAGGTGGGGCTATACAGAGAAACACTGTGTCAAAAAAGAAAGTGGGGTTAGAGATACTGCTCAGTAGTTAAGAACATTTGCTGTTCTTATAAAGGATATGGATTCTGTTCCCAACATGGTGGCTCAAAATCCCCTGAAACAGTACCCAGGGACCAAACTGATGCCCTCTTCTGATCTCCACAGGCACCTAACACATGGTATGCAAACATTGGCTCAGGCCCACAAACTATACATATGAAACTTCAGGAGATCTGTAGGGCAAAATTTCCTTATTTTCTTCAAGAAGGCAAACTGCTAATATCTGCTCGAAATATTCAGATATTACCATCAATTCTAAATCTGTACTTTTCAGATGCACAAGTTACTTGATTGTCATTACTTCACTATTTGACTTAATTGTATAATTATATAAATCTACTTATTAAGAAAAGGAAAATATTTAGGCCAGCTGACTTGCCTGGAATCAAGTCAGGCAATATGAACTTACTTAAGCTTGGCTCCAAGGGAAATGTCTGGTAAGCACTATTTTAAGTTTTCATCCATTTCTATAGTTTAACTTAAAGTAAAAAGCATCTTTTCAGTTAAGAAAAAGAAAAACCCCAGCCTTTCCTTAATGGGAAATAGTAGG